TTTAAAAAGGAATACTAACAACTCTTTAAAAAGGAATACTAACAACTCTTTAAAAAGGAAAGTACAACTGAGTACTTAATTATAAAATTGTTAGAAAGTCTACCATTGTTCTTCTTTTTCTTTTATCAGTTTTCCTTTCTTTTTTCTTCTGAGTGTCAACAGCCTTTCTTTACTTTAAGCCTTTCTAAATCCCCTTAGCTTTCTCTCTTCCTTATAAGATTTTTTTCAGATAAACGTTTTTCACACTTATGATCATTGCAGCATCCCCATGATCATAGGATCAAAATTCAGATGCTTGGCAACTAGTTCATATTTATTGTTGTAGTAGCCCAAGGTCATAAGATCATCTTTTGCGCTCTTAATACAAGCAAAGTCAGTGGGAAAGCCAGATTCACTTAACAACCATGTTACTAATTTAACAACTGCAGTGTTTTCAGTTAACAACTGTGGCAAGAAAGGTCATAAAATGGGGCAAAACTCACTTAACAACATTTCTTGTTTAGCAATAGAAATTTTGAGCTCAGTTGTGGTCATATGGATTTGGCCTGAAACCCTGCAAGGTGGCTGCTGGCTGCTGGCTGGACCAATGAACCTGATTCAGTATTTTTGGGATAAGAAGTCAGGAAGGTTGCTAAATGCCTCAAATTCTCCTTAGCCATCACAGAAGGGAAAACACCTTTAGATTCAAGAATTACTGTCAGAAACTATTGATAAACCTAAAAAAAAATCTCCCACGTTCCAAGTACCTTTAAAAACAAACAATAAAAGGGCTTTTGAACCTATTCCCCATTTCTAGATTGTTTTAAGCTTTTATTCATTTTTGTTTTAGGAAATTGATGGAAAGTCTTTACTGTTGATGACAAGGAACGATGTACTCACTGGACTTTCATTAAAATTGGGGCCTGCACTGAAGATCTATGAATATCATGTAAAGCCTCTGCAGACACAGCATCTGAAGAACAGTTCACTATAGTGGATTTTCAAACTGGACCGTGTTTTCTTCCTGCTCTTCAGAATAAACAAGCAGCATTGGTTTTTGGCACTGGAACTTTATTAAAAACGAAACAACAACAACACAAAACCTGTATGTGTGCATAATGAAATTAAACCAAATGGCACTGAAATAAATATATATTTATATTTATACATATCCTATTGGATAACTTTAGCAATATGCTGTTTAATAAATGAACTGGTAGGGTGTAGAATTTCTCACTGTTCAAGCAAAAGATGAGTTCAGTATGCTTTTTAGTAACTCTGTGGAGTCACAAAATGGTAACTGAAAACAGGAGTATTTAAAATGGATACACTTGATTTTTTTAAACTATTGCTTAAAACAGAAGGATGACACCTGTGTTGTTGCACAAGGCCCACTAAAGCGCGGTTATATCTTTGCACAGATCCCTTTTATTTCAAATTAATTGTTCCTAATTTGGAAAGAAAACAGAGAAAGTGTTAGATGACCAAGAGACACTTCTAGAAGTTCTGTAAAAATCTATTATTTCATAACATTAGCAGCAAGTTTTTGAATTTGCCAAAATAACTTTTTTTTTCCAGAGGGAGCACCTAGTTTTATCTTAGTAATGTTTGTTCATAGACTAATGTTTTAAAATTGTGCAACCTATATCCTTGAACCTTTTGGGAAGGGCAAAAGCTACATACAGAGGTTGTAAAGAGGGGTTTTTTTGTAAGTTTTTTGTTGAACTTGAAAGGATATTCTGTGAAGGAAATTTTAGAGAATGTTTGTACTGCTTTGTGAAACAAAAGTCATGTTCTAATTAATAACTTATTTGCTAAAAGTTTTGTTACAGTTGTGTAAAAAATGTAAATCCTTGCATATTTTTACATACTGCATTTTGTGGTGTGGTAAAGAATTATATTGATAAGTAATTTGATTCATGAGCCAAATATCTATTTCTGGAAAGCTAAAGAATGCTATCTTACAACTGTGAATCCCTGTTAAGGGAAGACCTGTAGATTCAACCTGTTTTAACCAGTTCTTGATTTTAATTGCAGATATTTTGCATCAACAAAGATATTACCTATGTTCTGATTCAGTTTGTTTTTTGATTTTTTTCTCGTGAAGAGTCTTGTCTTTTACTGAGTGTCTTTCGTGTTAATAATAGACTCAGTTGAACTGCTAGGTCTTCTGTTCTTTTAAGAACACATGCAAGAATTTATTTCCACGTAGGAGAAATTTTACTTTGGGAAATCTAGAAAACAATTTTAAGAAAAGGCAGAAATTACAATATCCAGGCCTGTCTCTATCATTGACTCCATTTCGTAGTTATTCCATCCTTTTGGGGGTTTTTATTACCAAGAAGATTAATAATCTGCTCCCTGCCAGCCATCAAAAGTGGTTTAATTTTATTCTGATCCTGGTTACATTTATTATGAGAGACAGTATTTTTGAGCTACCTGAAGCTATCTTTTAGCTTTTTGAGCTATCTGAAAATATCAGAGCTTGTCTAGAACTCACAGATACTACTAATAATATACAGAATCAGTTGAAAAGGTAAGCAATTTATTTTACTGACATGACCATATAACTTTGCAAGTTGGAGACATTTGAATACTTAACAGCATGTGACATTCACATGTTTTGCTAAATTTTAGACCTATGTATTCCTAATTGCATTTCATGTTAGGTGGCTTTTTATTTTATGTTTCCTACAAGCCAGAGAGTCATAAAATGTGAGATCATTTCTAAATAAATAAAATGTACTGTTTAGAATTATGTCACCATGTGAGAATGTAAAAATTTCCTGTTTAACCCCTGCGAGTTTCTTTCATGGTGAAATTGTTTTACAGTATTTGGCGAATAGCAATTTGTGACAACAATTGCAATTATCTCACCCTTTTATCTTTACCTCCACACATCTTTAAAAGGGCAACACCAGCCTCTGGCTCTATGTGCCACTTTTCAAAGTTAAAGGCTTGAGATATCATAAGAAGAAATGATCAAAAAGAAATGAGAAGTTAAACGCAATTCTTACACATTAATTGAATTACTGCTTAAGTGCAATGTTAGCCCTGAATTACTTCTTATTTTTACGTGTAGCTGCTGGCATTTACCATAAAAAATGACTAAGTTACTTGAGCATGTCAGACACAGTTCCTTACCAAAGCTTAGAGATGACACAACAAAGTCTGCTTTAAATAAAATTAAAGACTCACTGGACAAGAACGTTGCAAGTTCCATCATGTTGTAAAGACATCAAAGGAAAGCTGCCAACTGAACTCAGTCTAAATTCTATTGAATTCAATCTAATTTATAGTCATGTAATAGCTAAGGAAAGCAATTTTGGCAGCAGAGAGCAATCTGCTTGCTCCATTATCAGCTGTGAGGAGTGAAAAATATCTGTACTAATGCCACAAAACAAGAATATGTGGGAAATCTTCAGCCTTAGGATGCCCAGTTGGGTTTGCCATGGAGTTGCAGAGCACTTGCACACTATTGAAGCACAACAAGGATACACTGGAGTATTCCTTGTAAGAAGAGAAAAGTTCATGGAAACGGGTTGAGGGGAAGAGTTGAAAAGAGAAAAGAAAGGGGGGGAAAAGATGAGCAGACTGTAGAAAAAGAAAGATAACAATCTGTGTGACAATCATTATGGAAATAAAGACGTTTAGCTGATGTACTTTTTAAAGACAATCTTGCCTTTATTGTCTCTGCATGATATTTTGTACATACAGAACTAATACAATGATATAATGTACCATATTCATATTTATTGTTTCAACATTTCAAAATACAATAGAATTCTTTATTGCCTAAGTGTGATTAAATGCACAAAGAATTTGTTTCCGGTATATAATGTCTCAGTGTACATACAAACAGCAAGCAAATTAACAAACTAATTGGCATTCTAAGCAAATGACAATATAAGAAGTTTTTTGCACGTCTGAATATTCCACTCATATTTTTCACAGGTGGCATTTGGGGGGGACAGGGGCAAGGTCTTTCTTAACCCCAAATCTGACTTTTGTTATTTCAAATCAAATAGAATTTCCTCCAAACTTTTCTTTAAAAAAGGTAGAAGACTCCCAACGACCCAGAAAGAGCAATCTAAATGGAATGAGCAAATGGCACACCTCCTATCTCTTTCCAAGTTTGTTTTGAGCTGGGAAATTGCAGAAATTGATTACATTTGTAGAATGTGCTGAGTTTAATTCATTTTCCTATGGGCCTTGTATTTTGTCCTTAAGGAATTGTGTGAACGAACTCATTTGACTAGCTTGTAACAAGATAATTGCATAAAAATAGAGGTGATTTAATTCACTAACAATTTTATGGTTGTGTGAATAGAGCTATGTTGTTTTATTACCTTAGATCCAACAGCAATCTTGAGAGAAAAGAATGAAAAAGATGAGAATGGAGTAGTGGTTAGAACCGTGATGGTGAACCTATCAGAAGTGGTATGCAGAGCCATCACTCCAGGGGTGCCAGCCGTTGTCCATTGTACTTCCGGGTTCCATCTGGTCTTTGCACACACAGGAGCACCAGAAAGTGGAAGAGCAGTTCCATGGTACGCATGCGTGTGTTGGGAAGTTTAGCTTCTGGTTTCCTGCACGCGCATGCACACTGGTTAATTGGTTTTCACATGTGCATGCACACCAGAAGACCAGGAGACAGGCACACATGCGCATACCACACATGCACACCCGGGAGTTGCTCTTCCAGTTTCCAGTGCTCCCCTGCTCCTGTGCGTGTGCTCCCGTTTCGACACTCGGCACTGAAAAGGTTGGTCAACCCTGGGTTAGAAGATCGACTATAACACTATGAAATGATTTTGGAGTGATAACATTCATATATACAAACAGCCCATGTTATATCATAGGATTTTGATGAGGATAAATTGAGGACTGAGGAAAACCCAGGGCAAATGCAGTCCATAAATGTTTTTCTCCTTAGTGTCCTGTCATGCCCCCATTGGAGCCTGAATCTGTAGAGGAAGACAAGCCAGAGCTGGAGCCCATGGAGATCGAGGAGGTAGCTTCATAGGTTTCAGAGGAATGTGGGGCGGAGCAGGCCGGGTCAGCCCAGGGCCCTTTAGGATCGGGATGGCTTGTTAGCAAGGGCAGAATGGCCAAGAGAGGGCAAGAAGTGGACATAAGCAACCGTGGCACGACAAAACCGCGCTCGTCAAAATAGCGTTGATAAAACCGCATCGCTAAAGCCGCGACGTCATCACCGCGCATCATCACCGCCGCGACAACAGCGCGGCGACAGAAGGGCG